TGAATGCTTTTAAATTATATCCTAACTTGGAGTTTCAGTTTGTTGAATTCCCCAAGACTTAGAAAGTTCAAAAAGATTGAAAGAATTTTTTTCATATATTCTCATTCAAATAATGAATTTTCCTAGAACACATTCCTAAACTGTCATAATCATGTGTTAGATAATGTTTGGCTCTCCCAGTCGGATGATCTGATAGCTACTGTGATAATTGCGCATGGTGCTGGGTTATCTTTGGCCTCATAGCCCTAGGCAGATAGAACGCTGTATCAAAGCCTCACTAGTCAAGATATATTGCTCTTCACTTCAGTTATTAAATTTCCAAGAATAAATTGCAATTTTTTAATCTTAATAGTTTAAGGGAAATCTACAGCTATTTTGAAGTAGCCTGTGATTAAATCTACTAAATACACACTTTTGAAAGCAAGAAAGGTATAATATTCAAGTTGGCTGCTTTTTATGCTTTTTATGGAAAAATGTGTTTTATTGGGAAAGCCAACTTAATTTTTTTGTGAGAAAGTGGAATCATTTGCATAGATTATTTTCTTAAGAGGGAGCGTGTCCATTTTATTTTGGAACACAGTGGCTAAGAAAAGTAGAAGCAGTGATTTCACTGATCTTATTTGTTTTTCCTTTTCATCTTACTAAATTCTCCAGTAACTCTTGCATTACTCAAGGGAGCTGCTATTTTCATTTTATTCTTAAATGTTTTCGTGTTGCCTTGAAGAACTCAAAATAATTTAGTTTCACATTGTTTTTGCATGACAAGTGTAGCTAATGTTTACAATGAATGGGGCATTATAGTCTTAGCACTAGATGTACAGCCTACAAAGAACCTTTGTGAACTGATTTCAGCAGTATTTTCTAAGGACTTCTGCCAGAAACAAATAAAAAAAATCCACATATCTTAAATCAACCTTTTATTTTGAATGCTTCAGCTGTGTTTAAAATCTGCCTTTTAAAACATTTTTTGTATCTAGATATATCTTCACAATGAAAATTATACTTGATGTTTCCTGTTTCTGCCTTTTCATCTCATCCATAGACCTATAGAGTTTATTTCAACAACTTAATTCTTGATACATGCTGTTAAAATTGACATTACAATTTCACTGCAAAGTGAGCTCCATTAAATATCAGGAAGATATACTAGATTCCTGTTGAGGAGAATTCCATTCCTTTAAACAGGCTAGGAATACTTTGGATTTATTCCCACATATAGTAGTCCAACGGATATTGTTTCATCACAGATTTCCAAAATTAATGCTACTGCATTCATCTGTGAAAAGTGGTTCTCCTTAAAAATTATTACTTCATCTTACCTTACCCTAGCTACATAGATAGGCTAGAGCTCTTTTATTCCATAGTAATTTTTTTATTTTAAAAAAATATACATTATATTGATTATGCTATTACAGTTGTCTCATTTTTCCTTCTTTTTATTCCCCTCCACCCTGCACCCCCCTCCCATCAGGATTCCCCTGGCTTAGTTCGTGTCCATGGGTCATACATATAAGTTCCTTGGCTTCTCCATTTCCTATACTATTCTTAACTGCCCCCTGCCTTTGTTGTACCTACCGTTTATGCTGCTTACCCTGTACCTTACCCCCTCCGTTCTACCCGCTCTCCATTCTCCCCCCTCGCCATTCTCCCTCCTTCCCCTCCCCTCTGATCTCCATTTCTGTGATTCTGTTCCTGTTCTAGTTGTTTTCTTTGTTTTTGTTTTTGTTTTTGTTTTTAGGTTCAGTTGTTGGTAGTTGTGAGCTTGTCATTTTACTGTTCGTAGTTTTTGATCTTTTCCTAAGACAAGTTTCTTTAACATTTTATATAATAAGTGCTTGGTGATGATGAACTCCTTTAACTTGACCTCATCTGGGAAGCACTTTATCTGCCCTTAAATTCTAAATGATGGCTTTCCTGGATAGAGCAATCTTGGATGTGGGTCCTTGCCTTTCTTGATTTTGAATACTTCTTACCAGCCCCTTCTTGCCTCCAAGGTTTCTTTTGAGAAATTGGCCAATAGTCTTATGGAACTCCTTTGTAGGTAACTATCTCCTTTTCCTTTGCTGCTTTTAAGATTCTCTCCTTATCTATAATCTTAAGTAATGTGATTATCATGTGCCTTGGTGTGCCCTTGCTTGGGTCCAACTTCTTTGGACTCTGAGCTTCCAGGATCTCCTGGAAGTCTGTTTTCTTCACAAGATTGGGAAGTTCTCCTTCATTATTTTTTCAAATAAATTTTCAATTTTTTGCTCTTCCTCTTCTCCTTCTGGCACTCCTATGATTCGGATGTTGGAATGTTTAAAGTTGTCCCAGAGGTTCCTAAGCCTCTCCTCATTTTTTTGAAGTCTTGTTTCTTCATTCTGTTTTGGTTGGATGTTTCTCTCTTCTTTCTGCTCCCAATCGTTGATCTGAGTCCCAGTTTCCTTCCCTTTACTGTTGGTTTTCTGTGTATTTTTCTTTGCATAGCCTTCACTTTTCCTTCCATTTTACGACCATACTCAACCCATTTCTGTGAGTATGCTTGTTGCCAGTGTTTTGAGCTGTGCATCTGATAGTCTGGCTATTTCTTTATCACTTAGTTCTGTTTTTGGAGCTTTGATCTGTTTTTTCATCCAGGCCATATTTCTCTGTCTCAGCATGCCTGGTACGTTGGAAGGAGCAGGGCCTTAGATATTCGCCAGGGCGGGTCAACCCAGGTGTCTGCATTGTGACGCTGTGTGAGGGAGGGGTATGAGAGGGGACAGTGCAGCTTGCTTGGCTCTCCACCAGCTTTCAGTCACTTCCCCTGCTATCCACAAACAAATTGGGCCCTTCTGGTGCTGATTCCTGGGTAGAGTGAGTTTGTGTGCGTTCTAGGACCCCCCGAGTCTCACCAACAAACCCTCCTGTGAGGCTGGCAGTTTTCCTGCCACCGCAACCCCTACATGTTTTTACCTCCAGAGGTTTTGCGGCTTTCTTTTCCTGCACTGGAACCCTGGGTTGCATGGTCTGTCTTGCTCCCCAGCTGTTCCTCCTGGTTTATCTGCACACAAATGTGGGACCTCCCAGTCCTCCAGCCGCTGCCTTGCTGCGTGTCCTCTCCTCCTTGCTACCCATCTCCGCCCCTCCTACCTGTCTGGATGAATGTTTCTTCTTTAGCTCCTTGGTTGTCTGTCTTCCATACAGTTCAATTTTCTGGCAGTTCTGGTTATTTTTTGTTTTTAAATTTGTTGTTGTCCTCTTGGTTGTGCGAGGAGGTAAAGTGTACCTACCTATGCCTCCATCTTGACTGGAAGTCTCCCCATAATAATTTTTAACAAATCGTCCTTTTAGTACTTCAAAATTTTTGGATTGATGATAAGTAATTCATTTTTGCTGTCCAGCATAATAAACTAAGATTTTTCTGATTCTGTAGCTGCTTCTGTGGAAACTGGTAATGCAGGCTCATGTGTAGTATAGAAATATGGAAAACAGCCCTGGCTGGTGTGGCTCAGTGAATTGAGTGCTGGCCTGCGAACTGAAGGGTTGCCAGTTCGATTCTTGGTCAGGGTGCGTGCTTGGGGTTCAGGCCAGGTCCCCCAGTGGGGGGGCGCATGAGAGGCGACCACACATTGATGTTTCTCTTCCCTCTTTTTCTCTCTCCCTTTCCCTCTCTCTAAAAATAAATAAATAAAATCTTTTCACAAAAGAAATACACAAAACAAGTGTCTGCAAGTGAATACTCGGAGTAGAATTCACTATAATTACTGCAGAAAGTTGTGACATTGATGAAGTGGGCATGGAAAACCTAACATTAAGTGCCTGCTATGTGCCTGTCACTGTGCAGGACAGTATTGCATAATTTCTCTTGAAGCAGAGAAACTAAATTACTGAGAGTACCCCAGATGTTTACCCCCCAAAAATTTAAGGATGAACATAGAAATGGGGATATTTTACAAAGGAACTCAAACACAAAGACTTTAAATTAGTTACTCAGGTTGTGCAGCTAATAAATACACGATGCTGGAAGGATTCTTACAGCTCCAAGAAATAAAGCAACATTCAGTTGAGGAGAACAGAATTAATAGGGCTGAATGCATTTGGTCCTAGAGTGTGGAACACAGGTGAAATGCCTAGTCCAAAGGCTACTTGCCCTGATGTGGCCTCAAATGAATCAAGACATATTGGCAGCTTTGGGGAAACAAGTTTTTCTGTTCCCCTATAAAATTGGTCCTTTTATGATGTTGGAAATGATAATGAGTAAGATTAGCAAGATGTATTAATGTTAGATTGAGTAGTCACTGTTGCAGTTTGAAGATACATGCTGCAAAGTACTTAGGGTATTTCCTGGATAAAAGACAGTCTGACTTACATGCTTCAGTCCACTCACAGTACCTGAATCTTGGTATAGATGCCACAATTTAGTGTCTGATTATCTGCTTTTTAGCTTATAAATTTGAAATAGTAAACATATATCTGAATGGACTCCAGAGGATGGAATTATTCTAACCAAATTCATAAACCAAAATACCAATTTATTACTATTACCAAGAAAAATACTACTGTCCTGTGATCTGGTTCCCCTCATTTATACTAATCAGCATTGCATTAGTCTGCTAGAGCTGCCATAATAGAATACCATAGACTGGTTGACTTAAACAACAGAAATTTATTTTCTCACAGTTCTGGAGCCTGGAAATCCAACATTGAGGAGCTGACAGGGTTGGTTTCTGATGAGGCCTCTCCTTCTGGCTTATAGACAGCTGCTTTCTTGTGTCCTCACATTGCCTTTCCTCTGTGTGCTTGCAGAGAGAGAGGTGTCTGGTGTCTCTTCTCATCTTCTAAGGACACCCGTTCTATTGGATTAGGGCCCCACCCTTATGATGTCACTTAACCTTAACTTCTCCAACTACAAATAAACACAATGTTCATATCTCATGTATGATATTACTGCCATGTTGTGTCTGTATTCAGTTTTATTTAGTCACAGGTGCAAGGCAGAACTATGTAATTCATCACTGGATTTTATTTTGCTTTATTAGCTCCTCAAGAGTTATTAATCTATGAAATGGCAGAGAATGGAAAAAATTGTGACCAGAGACGTGTAGCAATGAACAAGGAACAATATAATGGAAAATTCACAGGTAAAGTATGGTGGTTTGGAGGGAGAAGATCTGTGGGTTTAAATGATATCCTTTTCATTGGAATAAAATAGAATCATATCTATTACTTGTTTTTTTTTTTGGTAGTAAAATATTCTATATAATAATACAAGGTTCTTCTATACCTTATATAAGATTAATTATATTTTGTTTACTCTTCATTGTAAATTAAATTATAGGTCAGGGCCTATAAGCTGATTTTTTTCCCATAGTGAAAAGCATCCTGGCCACCATCCCATTTAGTGTTCCAGATACAAGGTTATTATTTGTAATCTTATAGTATGGAAAGTATTTATTTGGTGCTCAGTTTTATCAGGCTATTGTATAGCTTTAGAGATAGATTATAAATTTACTTATTACACTAATCCTAAATTATACAATTATCAGAAAAGTCAGAATATGATTATTATGGATTTATTTCAAAATCTTGAGACATTTATATTTTAACCAAATTTGAAATTTGTGGGGTAGATTGCAGTATATTTGACTCTTATACATACATTTATCCTGATAATTACAGGTTTTTATTTATATAGATGATTTAACAAGAAACTTTCCTTTGTGTGTTAAAGGAAAATGAAAAGTTTTCCTTTTCTGTTCATTGTAATAGTTTTCCTTTTAACTTCTAAATTGTTTGGTGTCTCAAACACATTACAAATAATCCTTGAAGATGGTAATATTATATCAGAAATTTTCTTCTGTTGGAAGAAATATAAGCTACCTGAAATAGTTTCCATAAATTTGTTTTGATCACTATATGGCCTTGCAGAACACATTTTGCAGCACTTACCTGATTTCTGGGTTAATTTGATTACCAATAAATTTTGCATTGCTTCACTAAGAGTTTCGGGATTCAGAGGTAGGCATTGTATATGTCATAGTCTCTTCCCATTAGTAGTTTTTACATGGTTTTTTTTTTTTGGTCCTTTCAACAAGCACATACATTTATATATGCTTCCCCTACTGTTCCACTCCCTAAAATTTAAAATTAATGTTTGTATGACATACTCCTCTTTACCATGGGTTTTATTTTTGACTAAATATTTCATAGAGGTTGTGTTGTAACTGTACACGAAGAACTTACTCTTTATTAAGGCTGCTTAGTACTCCATTGTATGAGTGTACCATACTTTAATCACTTCTCTGTTGGTAACATTTCAGTTGTTTATAATCTTTTGCTAGGACAAATCATGCTTCATTGAATAAGCTTGTCCAGAAGTCATTTCTCCTTGCACCTAATCATTCTTAGACATGGAATTACTGGGTTACAGTGTACAGTAGCTCCCCCTTATCTATGGGGGTTACATGCCAAGATACCCTGAGGATGCCTGAAACCATGGATAGTACCACACCCTATATACTGTTTTTTCCATGCATTCATATACTTTGTGGCCTCTCTTTGGCATATCCGAATTATCAGCATCACTAGTCTTGTGCTTTGGGGTTATTATCAAGTAAAATAAGAATTACTTGAGCACAAGCACTGTGATAACTGTGATAGTCCGTCTCATTGATAACTGAGACAGCTCTGGAGTGATTAATGGACAGGTAGCAGAGACAGCAAGGTCAGCTCAGATTTCCGCGTATTACCAGAACAGTGTGCAGTTTAAAACTTACAAATTGTTTCTTTCTGGAATCAGACCAGGGTGACCATGGGTACATAAAGTAGAACCACAGATAAGGTGGGGCTCCTCTATATACATTTGTAGTTTTGATAGATGATGACAGTAATAACTAACCTTAATTGCGCACTAAGTGTCACACTCCTGAGAGCTTTACATATATTAATTCATTTATTCTTTATAATGACCCTATAAAGTAAGTACTATTTTAATCTTCATTGCAAAGAAGAGAAAACTGAGGCATACACAGGTTAACCAACTGGCCCAAGGTCGCATGACTAGTGAGTGCCAAGGCCAGGATTTGGAACCAAGTAGTTTGCCTCCGCATTTTGAGCTCTAAACCACTTTGCCCTACGATCTGATGCTAAATTGCACTTCACAGAGGTGGGATAATTTAGTATTCCAATAATGTACAAAAGAGAAATTTGTGCCCTAACAATAAAATAATTGCATACATAATGTTAAGAGTAGAACAAAGCTCCTAGCACATTGTGACAATGTGAACCACATTGTTTTTTGAGGTTTATATGCAGCCCTTCAAATGTGGGATGAGCATGTAGATGAATTTCGAAAATGATTGGAAAAAACAAGCATTTTGTTTTAACTTCTGCACTAATGTTTTTCAGACCTCTCTTCAATGAATGAAAAAAAGAAGAGAGATCGGGAAGAAAGGCAGAACATTGTCCTGTGGAAACAGCCACTCATTACCTTGCAGTATTTTTCTCTGGAAATCCTAGTAATCTTGAAGGAATGGACCTCAAAGTAAAGAGTCTTCCATTATCTTTTATGTAAATCTTATTTACTAATTTTAGAAATCTTCAGCAAGTTCCTCCTCCCTGCCACTTAATTTATCAAATGGATTAAATTTAGAATGTTATGAGAACATATTTATTTTCCTTTCCTATAGTTTGAAGAAAAACAGGTTAAGGGAACATACCTTTATTTGCTCACTGGATTCTTTACAGTTGACCCCTGTCTCATGTTGAATCTGTTATGCAAAGCAGAATACTGAAAATGAGATTTTTTTTTTTCTGGCTTTATGAGTACACTGATACTTTAGTAGGACAAGGTTCAGGACACGTGGCACTGTTACTGATAGTTTGAGCCAATGAGAAAAGACTCTGTGAAAGAAATGTGTTCTATCTTTAATTTATTACTTGTAAGCCCTATTTCAGATATCATAAAGAGCAAGTTGAACTTTTACATGCCTTATCATTTTTGGCTTGCCTTTCCAAATTATTGTCTGTAATATATTGCATTTTTATTGTACTTAAAATTTATAAAACATTTTGTAACATTTCATTTGATCCTTAAAGCAACTCCACAAAGAAAGTAAAACAAGTATATGATTATCATGTTTTTAAAAACAAGAAACAGAATCAGATTGTCTTACTCAATGTGCAGTATTTTAAGGGACTTGGGGATTTTGACCCAAGTCTTCGGATTTGAAGGCCAGTACTCTTTCCATTTATATTAAAATGCTTCTCTTAATTAGAAGTTTGGTGTAAAAGATCAGTCTTTAGATAAGGGAAAGAAATTGAGTTCTGTACCCCGTATCTTCCCTTGACTGCGTCCTGTACTCCAAAAGACTATAGTGTTTAAGGACATAAGAGCTCATCCCAGAAAGAACTAAATCTGTATCTGAGCTAAGTAACTGAACTGCTTCAACAAGAAATTGTTTTTGAGAATGATGAATCCTGAAAATGAGACTGAGATATTTCATTTATTTTTTTAAATATGTTTTTAAGATTATGGCATCGTCAAAACACTGTGGTGTCTTGTTTACTGCTGCTTGCTGTGCTTATAACTACGTATTGTGTTGAAGGAGCACATCAGCAGGTAAGAGGTTCAGTGACTCTGTTTCTGTTATTGTACCTTTCTGAATCCCAGTTTCAAAATGAGACTGTTGTAGATTTCATAGAATTTCTACTCTCAATATTTTTAGGCTTGGTTTTATTTTTTTTAATTTATCTCATTGTTGGTATCCTAATGTACTTTGTGGCAGTTCATGGCTACTTAGCATTTATATTTGGTATATATCATCCCCTTTTAGCTTTAAGGATTTAAGTGTAACTTTTCTGACAGTATTTAGTCAAAGCATCGTGAATCCTTTACTTACTACCAAAGCTTTCATATTTTCTTTAACACATTTCTGTGATCCATCCAAACAGATGTACTCATCCTAGATTGAATGTTAGGTTTTACATATATAAAAAGGGAAGTTCATTTGCCTACAGTCTCTAAATACAACATAAATGAATGGAAGACAGGACATTTTGTTAATAACTTTTATTAAAATAGCAAAACATTAATGTATTCTAATTGGATGGTTCTAAAATGGTATCTTTTTATAGTTTAAAGCAGTTTACCTCTAATATCAGAAAAGTTTTTATAGTTTTAAATACATTTAAAAAAATATTTTACAGAAATCTCTGTGTGCTATTAAGAATTTGCAGGGAACTTGGCTTGATGACTTTACTTGCCAGTGTAAGAATCTGGACTCTAGTCTGGTATTCTTCCAATAAGTTCATATCCCAATGGATTTAAGTTTGCTCCTGTTTGAAAACCGTCCTGGTCTTAATTATACAAAAAATTTTGTTCTCATTTTTTACTCAGATAAGCAAGAATATATTCTATTCACAAATATTACATAAATAATTGCCCCTCTCTTACCTCTGTATGTTATCATACTTTCTTAAAGTTTTTGTAACTTTTAAATAATCTTGAAAATTTTTATTTTTATAGTTATCTTATTAGTAACTAGCATTTTTCCTATAAATGTCATTGCAGTAGTAGGACTTTAGGTTCTAGAAACAAGAGCTTGATTCCATTAGGTGAATTTTTTTTGCCATTTCTCCTATTTCATATTAAAGGAATTAGTCTCCTTCAGAGCGTTTTCAATGTTAATGTTTCTATTGGAAACTTAGTTTATCTTATTTTGATTGTAGTTGATAAATACCACGTTTCTGTTTAAAAAATCTGGTTTTGGTTTTCACCTCATCCCTTTTGTTTTTCAGTATGTGCAACGTATAGAGAAACAGTTTCTTTTGTATGCCTACTGGATAGGCTTAGGAATTTTGTCTTCTGTTGGGCTTGGAACAGGGCTGCACACCTTTTTGCTTTATCTGGTAAGAATAACTTTTAAGCAATATTAAGAGAGATTATATTTTAATTGGTATTTTTGCTTCAGAAATTAAAATTCTAAGATTTTTATTTAATTAACTTTGTGTTTTATAAGCATTCTAATCCTCAAGTCAGTGCTTTGAGTTTGATTTAGAATTCTGTGTTGGTTTTCCTTTTAGGTTGAGGATTTAAAAAGAGAAGGGGGGAACCCTTAAGCAAATGAGGTTGTTTCCTTAAATTAATTCAGCCAGGAAATGGATTTTTCTTTCCAGATTTTGGAATAATGGCTCTCTTACTTACACAATTGTTGTTTTAATAATTGGGGTTACCTATATGCACAAAATTCCATGTAAAGCTTAGAAGTAATTTGGACACTTTACTTTCTTTGTTAATCAGCAAATGAGAAATAGTGTCTTTCCTCACATCCTCAAACACTATGTACACACCTGAATAGTCATTTTGGCATTCTTATTGAATGTAGTTAGTTGATGAAGTATTATATATGTAGAACAAAATGCTTTCTTAAACCCATTTAAACCAAAATATAAAATATACCCCTCCTAAAAAATATGTTTTTACTTAGTCAAAGTTAGACAAATAAAAGATAGGTTTTCCTTTGAACATTGACAAAAATATAGCAGAGCTAGGACCAGAGGGTGACAAGTAAGGCATCTAGGTCATAGAATTTAAATAAGCACTTCCAGGGACATGGAAGTGTGGAGTCAATGAGTGAATGTCTCATTAATTTTGAGCACTGGGTGCCTCTCTTGTTTCACTCTATTCCTGTCATTGGATACACTGACAACAATTCCACATTTGAAAACAGCTCGGTTTTGATTGGGGAAAAACAAGTGAAAAGTTGTCACAACAGTACTGAGTGCTGAAAACTGTAAATACTAGCAGACACTTCCAATCTCCTTGGTTCACTGAACTCACTTCTGAAGCAGGTATAAGTATTAAGGCATTATTGTATTTGAAGGCTGCTGAATTAATGGTCTGAAGAATAATTTGAGAATGAGTGTTTAATACCTGGGATTTTAGAATTGTGTTCATGATTGCTTGCTGATTTTATCCCAAATAGAGTTATAAATCTTAAGGAAGTAACCCATATGAGTGTTTCTTTAATAACCCATATGAGTGTTCCCAAGGAAACCTAGATTAAGGAACTCATTTGTAGCATTGGATTAATTTCAGAGTATCTAAAAAGCAACCCCAATAGGAGATTCTGCTGTACCCTAAAAGGCATTCTAGTAAAGCTTATAAATTGTACAATAGGTTAGAATAAAGATATGTGAAGCATGACAGTTTCATTTTCATATCCATAGAAACCTTTATAAAGTAACATTTACAAAATGTCTTGATGTGAAAACATTATTAGTTTAATTTCATTGATCAATATATCCAGATAAGAATTACAAACAAATAAGGACTTGTCACAAAATTCATTTCAGTTAAAAAGTCAGGTCTTTGCCTCTATGAATGAAGTAGTTATTTTTGCCCTCAGAGTACAAGTTTAAAGTTCAGAAGGAATTCTTTTTTTAAATTTTTATTCTATTTTATTTTTTAAGTATATTTTATTGATTATGCTATTAAAGTTGTCCCAGTTTTTTCCCCTTTGCCCCACTCTGCCCAGTACTCCCCTTCCCTCTACCAACACCCCATCCCCTTAGTTCACGTGCATGGGTTGTACCTATAAGTTCTTTGGCTTCTCCATTTCCTATACTATTCCTAATATCCCCCCGTCTATTTTGTACCTACCAGTTATGTTCCTTAATCCCTGTACCTTTTCCCCCCATTTATTCCCCTTCCTCCTCCCAGCTGATAACCCTCCAAATGATCTTCATGTCTGTGATTCTGTTCCTGTTCTGGTTGTTTGCTTAGTTTGTTTTTATTTTTAGGTTCAGTTGTTGATAGTTGTGAGTTTGTTGTCATTTTAATATTCATAGTTTTGATCTTCTTTTTGTTAAATAAGTCCCTTTAACATTTCATGTAATAATGGCTTGATGATGATGAACTCCTTTAGCTTTACCTTGTCTGGGAAGCACTGTATCTGGCCTTCAACTCTCAATTCTAAATGATAGCTTTGTTGGTTAGAGTGATCTAGGTTTCAGGTCGTTGCTTTTTCCATGACTTTGAATACTTCTTGCCAGTCCCTTCTTGCCCGTAAAGTTTTTTTTGAGAAATCAGCTGATAGTCTTATGGGAATCCTCTTGTAGGTAACTCTCTGCTTTTCTCTTGCTGATTTTAAGATTCTCTCTTTGTATTTAACCTTTGGCATTTTAATTATGATGTGTCTTGGTGTGGTCCTCTTTGTGTCCACCTTGTTTGGGATTCTTTGTGCTTTCTGGACTTGTACGTCGTTTCCTTCACCAAATTAGGGAAGTTTTCTTCCATTATTTTTTCATATAAGCTTTCAATGTTTGCTCTTCCTCTTCTTCTGGCATCCCTATGAATCAGGTGTTGGCACTTTTGGAGATGTCCCAGAGTCTTCTTATACTCTCCTCATTTTTTTGAATTCTTGTTTCTTCATTCTGTTCTGGTTGAATCTTTGTTTCTTCCTTATGTTCCAAATCAATGATTTGAATACCAGCTTCCTACCCTTCACTGTTGGTTCCCTATGGATTTTTCTTTTATTTCACTTAGTGTAACCTTCGTGTCTTCTGTTATGATTTTGCCATATTCTGATTTCTTTGAGTGTCTTAATCAGCATTGTTTTGAACTCTGTATCTGATAAGTTTGCTATCTCCATTTTGCTTAGTTCTTTTTCTGGGGTTTTGTTCTGTTCTTTCATTTGGGCCATATTTCTTTGTCTCCCCAACTTTGCAGGCTTCCTGTGTTTTTTTTCTGTGTATTAGGTAGAGCTGCTTTGACTTTGTGTCTTAATGCACCACTTAAGTTGCAAGAGGCAGAGCCTTTGGTATTCGCCAGGGCAGGACAACCCACTTCAACCCTTTGTGGTGGTGTGTGGGGCAGAGGGATCAGAGAGGGGGCAATGACACTGCCTGGCCCATGGAAGTTTGCCTGCCACTTGCCCCATTTCTGGTCACTTCACCCACTTCCTACATGCAACTGGCACCCTTCTAGCTGCTGTCCGGGTGATGATTCCCAGAATGGGTGGGTTTGCATCTGTTGTAGGACCATGGGGGCCGTTTAAATGGACTCTTCTGGGAAACCAGCAGTTCTGCCGCTCCAACCTGCACTGATTTTCACAGCCAGCAGCTGTGAGGCTTTTCCTTCCCGGCGCTGGGTCCCTTGCTTGGTCTGGCTTGGGAATGGGATCACTAGCTCCCAAGGTATCCCTCCTGATTTTTTATCCACCACACGTGAATGTGGGACTGTCCATTCTGCTTCTGCCTCTCCAGTCTGGCTCCTCATCTCCACTTCTCCTACCCATCTGGATGAATGTGGCTTCTTTCAATCCTTGGTTGTTGGACCAATTTGGTTTTCTGGTAGTTCTGGGTATTTTTTGTTTTGAGGTTAGTTGTGATTCTTCATGTGGTTGTTCAAGGAGGCCAACTGTGTCTACTTATGCCTCCATCTTGACTGAAAGTCCCAGAAGGAACTCTTCAAGAGCTATTTGAAGGAAAGTACCCCTCTGTCATTATACTCAGTGATAGATATATATATGAGCGTATTATACTTGTCCAGGAAATGTGAAGATATATATAATCAAGGAACCTCTGAAATTGTGTTGCATTATACCTAAAAGCTATATAAAAAAGGCTTTGTGGCATTATCACTGCTGATAATAAACTGGAGTCCAGGGTCGATCTGGCCACTTTTTTCAGCATTGATTTTTATTTTTTTGTGAGTAAATAGCATTTAGAATTATTTTAAATGCCTAAAATTACATACAAGTAAAATAACCATATCTACATTATTACTACATAATTCTGGCTATCGAATGGGAGATAGATCGAAGGTAGGAGAGAAGATGTGTAGTTACAATAATCCTTCTGAGAGACACAGGCTTCCATGGTGATGGCAGGAAGTATGTCCAGGAAGGGTTATTCCCAAAAAAGAATTTGCAAAAAGAAGTCAAGCAGAATGAAAACAAAGCTGGTATAAATCCTTACTATTTCAAAAGAGTAGTTGGAGTGACAGTGGCCTTGTAATGAAACAGGTCATATCTTAAAGAAATTTTATTGGTACAATCAAAAAGATGTCATGATTTAGTGTGGGGGGAGAAGGAGCCAAAGATAACTTGGTTTTTGACTTGAGTGAATAGATATCAATATCATTAATTGATCAGGAACAGTTATATGTTCATTAAATACATATTAAGTAGCTGAAAAGTGAAATTTAAGTGATACGGTAATTATGCTGCAAGGTAGATTAAATCTTCACCTGATCCAGCTCTTCCCAAAAGTGACCAGAGGTCACCTCTGAAGATGGTTCGCTATTCACTTGACCCAGAAAACCCCACAAAATTGTGCAAATCACGAGGTTCAAATCTTCGGGTTCACTTCAAGAACACCCGTGAAACTGCCCAGGCCATCAAGGGTATGTGTATTCGAAAAGCCACCAAGTATCTGAAAGATGTCACTTTAAAGAAGCAGTGTGTCCCATTCCTTTGATACAATGGTGGAGTTGGTAGGTGTGCCCAGGCCAAACAGTGGGGCTGGACACAGGGTCAGTGGCCCAAAAAGAGTGCTGAGTTTTTGCTGTACATGCTTAAAAAGGCGCAGAGAGTAATGCTGAACTTAAGGGTTTAGATGTAGATTCTCTGGTCATTGAGCACATCCAGATGAACAAAGCTCCCAAGATGCGACGTAGAACCTGCAGAGCTCATGGGCGGATCAACCCATACATGAGCTCTCCCTGCCACATTGAGAGGATCCTCATTGAAAAGAACAGATTGTTCCTAAACCAGAAGAGGAAGTTGCACAGAAGAAAAAGATATCCCAGAAGAAACTGAAGAAACAAAAACTTACGGCTTGGGAGTAAATTCAGCATAAAATAAATAAAATAAATACTAGTAAAAGTAAAAAAAAAAAAAAAAAAA